GAGTGCTCCTGGAAGTAAGACCTTGGGGCAATAACTTGAGGACCAGTGATTTATTTGAGAGTTGATCAAAGGAACACTATTCAGAGAAGAGGTTTGTGAGACAGGGCCGAAGGAAGCCAAAAAGGGTGCAGAATTTAGAAGATTGCTGGTCTCTTGCAACTGGGGCTCAAAACTATTGGAAACTCTGGAATGTAGTATAGAACCTGCCTTGGAATTTCCATCCAAGGGTGAAAAGATGCGGTATTTATCCTCCACCTCCTGTCTGTCTCTGACTTGGTTCTGCTCCTTGAGGCACCTGGCTCCCCTGACTTGGGCTGAGAGAAAATCCTCAGGCAGGGTAGCCCAGGTGCTTATATTAGATGCCACCGGCAGGTACTGAGATGGTGAGTGCCCTGAGATTATAGACAGAGCACAGCCAGGGTCAGCTATAAAACCTGATGGTAAACCACACCCAAAACAATTCGGGCTGGAATCAAGATGTACTATAAAGCTTCAGGTCTTAATCTGCTCAGGCTGCTATAAGAAAATATCACAGACAGGGTGGCTTAAACAACAGAAATTTATTTCGTACAGTTCAGTTCTGGAGCCAGGGAAGTCCAAAATCATGGCACTGGCAGTTCTGGTGTCTGGTGAGAGCCCTCTTCCCAGTTTGCAGATGGACACCTTCTTACTGTGTCCTCACATGGCAGAGAGGGAGAGAGAGAGAGAGAGAGATATCTTATATCTCTTCTTATATTAGCACTAATCCCATTCATGAGGTCTTCACCCTCATGACCTAAACATCTCCCAAAGGACCCACTTCTTAATACCACCACAATGTGGATTAGGGCTTCAACATATGGATTTTGAGGAAATGCAAACATTCAGCCCATAACACTACAGTAATAAAGTCATTGTGGTATTGGCCAAAAGACAGACACATAGATCAGTGGGGAGTGCATAAAGAGATTCATGCACATACAGTCAATTGACCATTGACAAAAGCACAAAGAGAATTCACCAGAGAAAGTCTTTTCAGCAAATGATACCAGAACAATTAAACATCTGTACATAAAAATAGGAACTTTGATCCATACTTCACATCATTTACAAAAACTAACTCAAAATTGATCACAAACTTAATTGCAAAAACCAAAACCATAAAACTTTGAGGAAAAAAAAACAGAAGGAGGAAATTTTCGTGACTTTAAATTATGCAAAGATTTCTCAGATAGAATGCTAAAAACATGATGAAGGAAAAATGGTAAGTGGTATCTCATAGAAATTAAAAACTTCTGCTCTTTGAAAAACAGTTAAGAAAATAAGAACAGGCCACCAATTGGGGAAAACTATTGGCCAAATGTATATCTGTTAAAGTATTGGTATATAGAATATGTAAGGAACTTTAAGATTCAATAATGAGAAAACAAACAACCCAATAAAAATGGGTAAAAGATTTGAACAGACACTTCACCAAGGAACACACACAGATGACAAATAAGCATATGAAAATAGTCACTTTGTCATTAGTCTTTAGGAAAATATAAGATAAAAGTTCAATGAAATACACTACATATTTATTAGGATGCCCAAAAGCAAGCAAACAAACAAACAAACCCCCCCCAACACACACACACACACACACACACACACGCACATCAATACCAAGTGCTGCCACTGAGGCAAAGAAATGAAAGCTCTGGTGGGAATCCCCTGCTAGTGGAAATGCAAAATGGTACAGCCACTCTGGAAATAATTTTGCAGTTTATTAGTGTTAACATACATTATTACCACACTGCCTATCAATCCTACTTTTAGATACTACCCAAGAGATGTGTAAACCATATGCACACAAAAACCTGTATACCAATACTTAGAACAGTTTTATTGATAATCACCACAACCTCAGAGCAACTGCCGAATCCTTCAACTGGGGAATGCATAAACAAATTGGACATTTCTGCAGAGGCCCCTTTTAGGCAAACAGGCTTGAGCAACGGAATCCAGACAGACCCCTTAGGCGACCCACCTCAAAATATCCGTGGGCCCTAGCCAACCAATGGGCTTACTTAAAACCAGGCATGATTACTAAAAAAGAGAAGATTCCATATGTGGCCATATCTCTTCATCCTCCCCTCCTTTATTTTTTAAAAAGATTTTATTTATTGATTCATGAAAGACACAGAAAGAGAAAGACAGAGATATAGGCAGATGGAGAAGCAGGCTCCAGGCAGGGAGCCTGATGTGGGACTTGATCCTGAGACCGCGGATCATGCCCTGAGCCAGGGGCAGGTGCTCAACTGCTGAGCCACCCAGGCATCCCATCTTCCCCTCCTTTAAAAGCAGCCCCCACCCGTTACCCCATGGCAGACAGCCTCTCCTCTGTTATCCTACCCGCCGCTCCCTTGCAGTGTATTCAATACGCTTTTATCTTCTTTGTTCCACCATGGGTGAATTCTTTTGATGCCCGCTTCATTGGCTTCCACCTGATTTTTGCCCCACATTTGGGGGCCTGCATCTGATCGAGAGACACCCCCATGTAGACACCACAACCTACATCCAACACAATATTACTTAGCTGTAGAAAGTAACAAACTGGGAATACAGACATTCTGCTAAGCATAATAAGGCAAATTCAAGGGGCACCTGGTTGGCTCAGTTGGCTAAGCATCTGTCTTTGGCTCAGGTCATGATCCCAGGGTCCTGGGATAGACCTAGCATCAGACTCCTGGCTCAGCAGAAAGCCTGCTTTTTCCTCTGCCCCTTCCTTTGTTCATGTTTTTGCTCTCTTTCTCTCTCTCAAATAAATAAAATCGTTTTAAAAAGGCAGCAGATTCAACCGGTTAAGGCCTGTTCAAGTCCACTCATATGATACCCTCAAAAAAAGCAAAATTATAGGGACAGAAGACACATCAATTGTTGCCAAGAGGTGAAGATGCTGGAATACAAGATTGACTCCAAAGGGTGCACGAGAATTTCAAAAGGGCAAAGGAACCGTTCTCTCCCTTGGTTTTGTGGTGGTGGTTACAGGACTTGCAGGCCTTTGTCATGACTCAGAACCATACACTAAATCGGATGAATTTTACAGTCAACAGACACACAGTGTCTCCTCTTTAGGACCTTATCTTCTCACAGAAAAGCATCCTTGTAAACTGGCACTGACCATGAGATCTCATCAAGAGACCACTAAGTACAGGGCAAGATGGGGAGCAGAGGAGGGGGTCTCCCAACTCAGAGAGAGTCTTATGTCCAAAGGAGCCCTACTGAAAGAAGAATAACACTTAGTGCTTTACCTGGATGATTGTAGCTCTTTGTGGTAAGCTAAGTGAGAAAATGGGCTTTCTTTTTACATATTTTTCTGTATTTTTATCAAAGTTATACATGTGGAGAGATTCGAGAGTCACATAATCTCACAAAGGTTGTTGTTACAAACAGCAGGTGCTGACCACAACCCCCTGCCCCCAGAGGAAATCACTTTTAGTTTAGATAAGGCATTGTCACTTATTCCCCTGTCCCTAAGTAATATTCATGTTTTGTTACACACGACTTCAAAGTCTTAGATATAATCTATTGACTTCCCATGACTGGAAATGAGATTTTTGACCACTGCTCTGCTGCCTATGCAAAATATACAGACTCACCCTTCCATCCCCTTCCTTCCATTAGTTACATGACAGGGCTTTTTTTTTTTTTTTAAGATTTATTTATTTATTTGAGAGAGAGAGAGCAAGTAGGGGGAAGGGCAGAGAGAGAGGGAGAAGCAGACTCCCAACTGACCAGGGATGCCCAATGTGGGGCTCAGTCCCAGGACCTGAGCCAAAATCAAGAGACTGAGTCACCCAGGCACCCCATTTTTAAAAAAAATGTGTTTATTTATTTGAGAGAGAGAGAGAGAGTTATGTGACAATCTGATGAGCTCAGCACTGTTGTTTAATTTACATTACTGTGACTATGTGAACACTCGTCACAGCTGAAGTAAATAGTAAACCAACTACTTTTCCTTTCTGGCACAACTTCTTATTTTCTTTGACATGAGAAATTGTCAAGTTTGTGTTTGCTTGGTTTTGTAGGCACATAACACTTTTCAACCACAAACTCTTCACTGGTTGCCAAAATCTCCCCTCTGTGTTCATATGCGCCAAATGCTATTCACTTCACCTCCCAAAGATGAATTTCCTGGAGGGCTCTGACCCTTTCCAGTCTGGACTGGTGGCCCTGTGTTTCCAGAAACTCAGCTGTCACCGGGATCTTTTGTCACACCATCGTGGGGGGTCCCTTCTTTCCTCCCCTACATTCTGGCTTCTCTATCCCTTGCATTTTATTTCTTGGTTACGCTGTAATAGGCTTCCTTTTGATATTTAGAAATGTTCCCCATGAACTGCTTGCCACATAGCCAATGTTCAGTAAATGAGAACCTTCATTGTAGTTATGAGAGTGCAGTGGGTGGGGATAATTTGGGGTGTGGGAAAACTTTTTGAGCACATCAAGCGGCACTCCTTGCTCACCTGCCCAGTTGACTGCTGGGAAGAGTTCTATCGGTTCATCTCAGGGAAAGGGACTCAAAATGGGCTTCCCATCAACTTCACTTCCACCTGGTGCTCAGGGACAGAGCGCTCACTCCCTGGAATGCCCTTCTACCCCCCCCCCCACTCTTTACCTCCAATCCTCCTAGGTGGCCCAAGCAGGTATGACTACCCCACCTCACAGCTGGGAAGACTGGGGCCCAAAGCCGTGGTTTGGGTTGCTGTCCCCTCTTCACCAGTCACAACAATGGGCTCTTTGAGAAGCCTCATGGGATTGGCAGAGTGCCTGGAACTGCAGGTATTAGGTGGAAACAAGTCTAGAAGGCACAGGCGGAGGCGTCCGTGAAGTCTGGGAAAGGGAGTGACCCCAGGGAATCGGTAGCAAGACCATGTGAGGGAAAGTCAAGACAAGCTGAGAGATTCCTTTGAAACGTCCTTCTGTTCTGCCCTGTACCCTCCCCTCTAAGCCCCTCCCCTGCTCCAGGCCAAAGGACCAAGGCAGATGCTTCCATAAGGCTTCCCGACCAGCATGCTGACACCTCCTGCTCCTCTGATTTCTTCATGTCCCTTGCTAGGCCTTGGGCTTCTGCCACCAATATTCTGCCACCAATTTCTGGCTTAGGACAGAGCAGATGGGAGGGCCACTTCTGGGGTGACCACACCCTCTGGGGGAGGCATAAAGGGAGAGCCTGGCCCTGACCACCACAGCCCCAGGACCGTCACTATGAAACCCGGCAGCCTCATCCCCCTCCTGATGCTCCTTGCCCTGGAAATCCTCATGACCTGGACTGTGGAAGGTGCTAGCAAAGGTGAGTTGGAGTCTCTCAGGTGGTATCCAGGTGCCAGAGTCCGTGAAAGTTCAGCTTAGCAGTAGCTTCTTCCTCTTAGTCCAGCAGCTGACCTTGAAGCCACCTCTCCAGTGGTCTGGCCCAAGGACCCTAATTTCAAGTGTTCCTCTGAGGATTTCAGCTAAGAGTTTCTGAAGCGTCCAGAGACCCATCTTCCACCAGATGGACCCGGTGACCCCAGCCCCTGTATTGCTTATTGTTCCCTCTCTACAGCAACTTCTCTACTGTTTGCTCTTTTGCTCTGTCGCATTATTTTGTTCTTTGTTTAATTTTCCAAAATGTTCTCTTCTTTTACTGTTTCCTTTTTAATGGTCAATTTACTCTCAGTGGATCTGGAATCTTTCCTTCAGGCTCTGATGAGCTGGCTCTCCTACTATCCGGGGTCCTTCTTGGCTTCCCCTCCCGGGGAAGGCACACCTGACAATGAGCTCTGTCCAGCTGTGTGCTGGAGCTGGCTTATACTGGCTCACAACAGCGGGAGGTTACACTTTTAAGACTTTTGCAAGCTAGTTGACATCATGTGGTAGCTTGAAATCAGCCATGGTGGCCTTCTTTACACCATGGAAATTGGCAAATGCCAAAAAGGCCTCTTTTAAAACATTTACCTGCACACCACCATCTCTATACCTTCTCTTCTGTGCCATCAACTCCCTCTTGGCTGAGTGGTTGGCTGAGCCTGGCACAACCCCACACCTGCCTTCAAACAGGAATCCTAGTAACACTCTCTTTTCCTTTGGGGTCGGTTTCCCGGGTTAGGTTTCTCCAACCCCCCCCCCCCCAGCCAGTTCCTTGTCTGGGATTGTGGTCATGACTCAGAATCAGCTCCCTCTTCCTCCTTTGTTCTTACTCTTTAGAGAAAGCTAAGCACGGAGCCTGCCCCTTCACACCTCGTGTGATGTGCCTTGTGTTTGAACCCCCTCAATGCCAGAGTGACTGGGATTGTCCGAAGGAACAGAAATGCTGTCGTGAATATTGTGGCATCAAATGCGTGGATCCTGTAGACCCATCAAAGCCTGGTGAGGAAACAAAGCCCTGGAAGAGGGGACCAGGGAGATTTCAGCTTAAGGACACACATCTGGGAGAAGTGGTGGGGGCTCCTGGGAACTGAGCTGGAAGGTGAGGCAGAGCCAGGGCTCACTGCTATGCTCAGTGAGTCAGTCCAGGAGTTAGCCACTCATTCAGCTAATGAGTCACTCTGTCAGACACTTGCAACCCTAGTTGCAGCCCCCTCGGTGGAAAGGGGACTCCAACAGGACATGCACTGGCCTCAGTTTGGGTGCCGAGGTAGAGAGGAAGTGATTGGCACACCGGGGTAGAGATGGGGTAGGAGCTGGGGTGATGTCTAGGAGGGCAAGCCTCTGAGTTGTGACCCCGTTCTCACCAGTTAAGGTCAATCCTGGGAAGTGTCCCCTGGTCACTGACCAGTGCAAGAAGCCCAACCCCACAGACAAATGCCTGAATGACAGCCACTGCCTGAACAGTCTCAAGTGCTGCAAGGGAGTGTGTGGGAATTCCTGTGTTAAGCCAGTGAAAGGTAAGATCTGGCTCAGATCCACATCCCCAGGATCCTACTACAGCCTTAACCCTCTGATACCATGTGAAGGAGGGTACTTGGTATCTCCCTATGCATTCACTACCCCCCCCAAGTAGATCCATTGCCCCTCAACACCTTGCACCCCCAGTTTTCTAAGCAAGCAATCCCCAGGGTCACCTGTGACTGGTAGTGCTGGGTCCTGGGAAGGAAGGCTTCTCAAAATGAGCCAGTAGAAAGGAGCCATGATACAAGAGGCGAGAATTATATCTTTTCACACCACCTCTGCCTCTGACTGGCTGTGTGACTATGAGCAACTGACTGTATCTTTTTAGCCTCAGTGCTCCCAGCTGTAAAATGGACACAAGCATATCCTCTGAGATACTAAATGTAAAAGTACACTTTTAAAACTCAAAGGTCTGTGTGTGTTGAGAGAGTATTGCTATGGTTATGACCTCGATTGGCTGGATTTCCTGGAACCACAAGAAACCCCAGTGTGATGTCCCGATGGAGAGGCCCAATGCCCGGATTTTACCAGAATGAAGACAGAAGCTGTCAATGAACAACCTGGATTTGTTCTTGATTCCTAGATCGAAGACCAGTGCTGTTTGACTATTCCAGCACCATGTTCTCTCTCTTCTTATCCAAAGGGAGCTTTGCGCAGTGGCAGTATCGTAGCCATTGAGGTTTATCCGAGGCACGATTATTGCTAATTGAAAACTCTTATCCCAAGGGATGTAGGGCCCACTGACAAGAGGACCTTTTGGGTTGGAGGATTGTAAGGGTCACTGGGATTGTTCCTGTGCTAAAAGTCTGTTTTATTTTCTCTCCACAGATGTATTCTTGCCAGTTCAATAAGATTAAGACTTGTTGGTCCGTGTGGTTTGAGTATTCTTTTTTTTCCCACGCCTGGGAAAAATAAAAGTGTCTTGATGAAGGTGTGTCTTCATGACTGACACTTCCAGGGGGCTAAAGTTGGACCTGTTTTATCTGTGTGTGCTTGGCACCTGGCATGAGGTTTGGCACATGAGATTAAATAACTGCTGATTAGTGAATAAATAAATACACAAGATTTTCCCTGCATTTCCATCATCCTTGACTCATTGCATCTGGTCTAGGATATGAGGGGTGAGGTGAAGAATGACGTGTCTGCACATGTAGGGTTTCTCCCCTAAACTAGGAAATGGAAAAAAGAGAGCATTTCAGAGCCAAGCAGATATGATTTTTAATTCTGTGTCTGTCAATTACTGGGTCTGTAATTTTGGGCAAATTTGTGGGGCTTTGTCCCACTGAGCCTCAGTTCTGTCATCTGTAACATGGGGAGAATAATAGTGCCAATTCCATAAAGCTGAGGATGAGTGGTATAATATGTGAAATGAGTAGCCCAACAACTGTCACGAATGACAGGAAGAGGTGAAAAGCCATCAGGCAGAGAAAAAGAGGATCCTTATCTGGAAAAACTGAGTTAGTCCAGAGGAAAGATAGCGTAGCAAGTGACAGATGGCACTAAAGATAACTAACCTTAACAATCGCCAGTATCGATGGTGTCCACTTTTCCCTGGGCACAGGGCTAGACTGAGTTTTTCACCTCCCTTTTCAACTGAATGTAGCTAGTTGTACACTCTGGTCATGAAATGGGAGCAGGAGTGATGTGTTCCAATTCTGGACCTGGCCCATAAAACTCTCTCAACCACCTGCTGGTGCCATGGAAAGGATGTCAAGGACCTGGAGGAAGAAGTCCAGGATTCTGAATCCCTTAGTGGGTCATAGCCTTTCCTCTCCACTTGCTTGGGACTATGACATGAGCGAGCAATGCACGTGCAAGGGACTAAGGCACTGAAATTTGGAATTTGTACTACCTGCGTAGTACAGTTACTGACCACTGTTTGGAGTCCAATGTCAGCCCACTGGATGGCCTTGTTCCATTTTCTGCCTTTGAGGGCTTCATGATGCCTCATTTCATCATGGATCCCATATGAAGGTGTTTCTAGTCCATCTCTGGGAGAGGTTGGGGGTGGGGAATGAAGTGAGGAGAATCTGAAACCTCAGTTTTGCTTTCTCTGGCCAGATTGTCAGTTGCAGGTGCAGAATGTTCCTGATGCAAGTTTATGCACGATAAACCCTGACCAGGGCTGAACATTCTCACCTAGGCGTTTCCATCTGCAGCCATGCAGAGCTGCTGGAGGAGAGTCAGGTGTTCACCTCCTTGCTCTCTGAGACTGCACTGTGATGTCCCTGGCCCCTGCTTTGGGTTCCAGGCCTTTTGGAGTATCCCTTTGGATCATCCTCAGAACGCTGGAGGATTCCCCAACTGTTTCTTCCTCCTCAGATCTCCCTCCTTCTCTTCAAATCCTTTTCCTTTCTTTTGCAATTCCTTTCTCTGCGTCACTAAATCCTCTTTCCTTGAAGGTGTCAGCCCTCACTACAGGAATACCATGTATCAATACATTATCTACACTCCCCAGTCCACTAAATAGCAAGCAACTTTCACATATATGCTTCTGGTGTTTGGAGGGGAAGTGAGGGACTCAGATTTCAGGGTCTTGACTCTGTGTGGTGGAGCAGGGATGATTTGGAAGAGGGGAGGGAGAAACCAATCTTTTGGGGGTAGATGAGGGGAAAAGGTTGCAGTCTTCCACCCTGGTTCAAGCTTATTCTCAACCAGATCCTCTAAAATCAAATATCTGGACCACAAGATTAATTTTTCCCCAAAAGTCTCTCAAAATTCATCTGAAGGGATCTGATCTTATGACATGGGGTCTATTAATTCTGACGTTATTGTGCTAAGAGAGCGTCTGGCCCTCCAGCACTCTGGATACATTTTGAACTTGCCCTACACGGATTGACAGCTCTGTACTCAAGTCACTTCTTTCCAGGTCCTTTTTTCCCCATTCTTAACAAGAGGATGGAGAAAATCTTCTCTCATCCAGACTCTTTTCAAATAGATCTTTTGTGAAAGTTAGCTTGATGGGGTATCTCTTTCTTCCAACTGAAACACACCTTGACTCAGTCTCTCGAGATACAGGCAGCAGGGGCATTGAGAAATCACCTGGCCAGGCTTTAGGAACAGAGGTTGTCCCCAGCTGGGCTGTTGACTCAGTGTTCACATTGGGCATGAGCTCTCATTTGTGTAATGAAGGGATGGTTCAGCCCACTTTCAATGTCCCTCTTTGTTCTGCTAATGACAAACTAATGATTCATAGATTACTTTTGAAGGAAAACCCCAGTAGGATAGGCTACCTCATCTTGTTCTAAGAACTCCCTGAGATCCATGAACTCCCTCAACCTCTTGGCCTCGCCTTAGCCTCATCTTCCCTGGGGGCTGTGGCCAGCTTTCAGGGCACCTGCTTGCCTGGTGATTGTGACTTATGAGTGTCCTAGTTAGTCACAACTAGAAAGTCAGGGACTGTCTGTCTAGTAACACCTTCTTAGGGTACAGATGGGGAAACTGAGGCCCAAAAAGACAATACAGTCAGTTGTGGAACTCGAAGCCCTGCATTCTTTTTCTTTATTTTCAAGTTTATTGTTTTTCAGATGATATAGTGGTTGCTGTGGTGTGCTGTCCAGATCCTCCCACAGGACAGAGGTGCCGATGCCTTCAGGCGCTGGGAAGATTGGCTGCTGATGTTCATAGCTGAGTCCCTCCCTGGGAATTTCCCTGGCCAAAGTGAGCAGCTACATCCAAGGGTACACCCCATTCCTGGGGCAACCTGTCTCTGCTGACTGGTCAGTGTTGGGGCACAAAGGCCTACCTCCCTCGTTTGATTAGGGATGCCTCTGAAGGGTCCCTGCAGCTCCTGAGCTCCCGGGGGGCCTCGGCTGAGCCTCTGTTGTAACTGCATAGCACATCCACTTGTCCTTCTATGCAGTCCTGCTTCTTTTACCTCTCACAGATTTTGCTCTCAGAATACTCCCCAGGAAACCTCCTGCACATAAATCTCTGCCTCTGACCCATCTTCCAGAGCATCTGACCTAAGGAAGATTATACAAAGACATATCCAATAAAGACAATTACCCAAAATATACAAAGAACTCTTTAAAAGTCAACAACAAGAAAACAACTCAATTAAAAAATAGGCCAAAGACCTGAACAGACACCTCACCAAAGAAGGTATGCAGATGGTGGGGCACCTGGGTGGCTCAGTCTGTTAAGCATCTGCCTTTGGCTCAGGTCATGATCCAGATGGAGTCCCACACCAGGCTACCTGCTGAGCAGGGAGCCTGCTTCTCCCTCCTCTCCCTCTCCGTCTGCCCCTCTCCCTGCTTGGTCTCTCTCTCTCTCTCTCAAATAAATAAATAAATGAATAAATAAATAAATATCTTTTTTATAAAAGGATATATAGATGGCAAATAAATAAGTGAATGAAAAGATGCTCCACTTCATATGCTATCAGGCAAATGCAAATAACAACAAGATACTCTGGATACATATTAGAGCGCCTGAAATCTGGAACACTGACAACATCAAATGCTGGTGAGGATGTGGAGCAACAGGAACTCTGTCATATGTTGCTGATGGGAATGCGAAGTGGTGCAACCACTTTGGAAGACAATTTGGCAATTTGTTACAAAACTAAACATACTTTTACCATATGATTAAACAATCATGCTCCTTGGTATTTACCCAAAAGAGCAGAAAAATTACGTCCTTACAAAAGAACTGCACAAGGATGTTTATAGCAGCTGTATTCATAATTGCCCAAATCTGCAAGCAACAAGATGTTCTTTAGTAGGTGAATGGATAAATAAATTGTGGTACATCCAAGCAATAGTATATTTTTCAGAAGAAATGAGCTATCAAGTCATGGAAAGATAAGGAAGAAACTTCAATGCATATCACTAAGTGACAGAAGCCAGTCTGAAAAGGCTACATCTTGTATGATTCCAACTGTGTGACATTCCATAAAAGGCAAGACTATGGAGACAGTAAAAAGATCAGAGGTTACGGAGGGGTGGGGGGAGAGGAATAAATAGGTGGAGGATTTTTAGGGCACTGAAAATACTCTATATAGTACCATAATGATTGATATATGTCATTATACATTTATCCAAACCCACGGAATGTACAACACCAAGAGTGAATCCTGATGTAAAGTGTATGGACTCATACTGATTGTGATGTATCAGCCCAGGTCCGTGGATTGCAACAAATGTACCACTCTAGTGGGGGATGTTGATAGTGGGGGAAGCTATGCATGTGTGGGGGAAGGAAGTATACAGGAAATCTCTATCTCTTAATTTTGCTGGGACTCTGAAACTGCTTTTTAAAAACTGTTGTTAAAAAAATCAGGGAATCAAATATAATTTCTCAACTCTTTCAATATTTTTTAATTCATTGGTAAGAGTTTCATTTTTTAAAAAAATTAATCATTATCCAAACAATTGGAGAAGTAGAAAGACAAAAAGAAGAGCCAATTACCACTTATATAGCACGTGTTCTGTGTGCAGCCCAGAACTTTCTCTCCTTTCAGGGCTCAGCCTCCCCCTCCTACAGGATAATGCATGGGCACACCGTGGCACCGCACTGTATTTCCCTGCATCTGGGCTCCTCAGTCTGGAGCAACCCCTGCTGGAGGTGAAGAAAGCGTGCAGCAGGATGGTCTAGGGAGGTCTTTGGCATTCCAAGTTTCCCAAACAATTCAGAGTGGGCATTGACATAACATGGTTAGTCCTTTTGAGCACTCCACCTGCTATGACTTGCAGGTGATCTTTACTTTCCAAGCATCCAGTGAGTATTGGCTGGATCGGATGACAGACTTAACAACACACACCCCCTGAAGTGTAAACAATTCACAGATAATGTACAGTCTAAATCTACGCAGAGAAAGAAAAATTTTCCTAAAAGTTTTCCCGTAATTTGCAAAGCCATCCTCTCTACAAAGGAGCTAGTATTGATATTACTTCACAAAGCATTCCTTTGGTTCCTTTCAAATCGTGACTTTTGCAATCTATGGGGAATCAAAAACAGTTTGTATGGGGGTACCTGGGTGGCTCAGTGGTTGAGTGCCTGCCTTTGGCTCAGGTCATGATCCCAGGGTCCTGGGATCAAGTCCCGCATCAGGCTCCCTGAAAGGAGCCTGCTT